CGGCTGTAAACATGAGATTATGGTGTTGTTTGTTTTTGGCTGCAGATCTTCTTGTCATCTTCTGTCTGCGCCATGCAAACGTTAAGCTTCGCCAAATGTTTATTTTTTTTTAAGACTGCAGACCAAAAAAGGTCTGTGCGTTCTCTTCTTGGTGCATATGTGGACCAGAATCTTCAAACCTCTTCAGACATATTCTAACCTAAAAAAACACATATATTTTTATTTTGTTTTTTTTTAACTTATATTTATTCCAACTTTATGTATGATAAATAAATTGAAAAAAAAATACAATACTTAAAAAAAAGATTTGATAACACAACTATGATATTTGTGAAAAATTTATAAATAAATATTTAATTACAATAATAATTCATGGAGCTGTTTATATAGATATTAAAAAAAAAAATTCATAATATTGTCTTATATATTTTTTTGTGAAAATTTTTATGATTGTTCATTTATTGGGAAAAATGTTTATGATCAGTTTTTAATTGATTTAATTGAAAAAATAAAATAAAAATTTTGATAATTTTCATTTAAAATCAAAGTTTATTTCCATTCATGTTATGTGTTAAATTATATTATCCCTAATTACAATATTTAAATATAACTTTACGATAAGAGTTTGTTGGTTATTATTAAATATATAGGATAATTATTACCATTTTATTTTCATTTTTGATACAATCATGCATAAAAGTTAATCTACATTTGTTAATTATCTATAATAAAGTTATAAAATTATCTAACAAAAATCGTTTAAGTTTTTTTAATCAGTTTAATTAGATTTTAGTTTATTCTAATACCCCGCAGATATTAAAAAACAAACAGTTTTATTCTTTCAGGCTGCAGACGGTTGGTCCACCTCTTCTACTGCAGACATTTTGCCTCAGAAAAAACAAACAACACCTATGTCTCATGCACTAGAGTCACTACAAACGAATTTTAAATGGCAACGAGGACTGACTAGTATGAGGATTTGAACACATGTCAATAAGTTATCCATCATATCTTCTGCATGTCTTACCAAACCATTACAACTCAAGTAGATGAATTTGAATAGAGTAACTTGTCATGGTCTTTTAGGCCCTGCTTAGTGAATAGACCTGGGTGGAATAAAACAACACTAAGTTTTTTAGATGGTGTTTGGCATACCTGGAACAAGAACAATTTGAAAGTTTGATAAAGTCCAATGGGACAATTCACTCAAAAAACAGTCACACCCAAAAAGGTGGAACTCAGTAGAACACGTCTCCGCCCAAAAAAAATCTGACGAAAATAACCCTTGGAGCGAGTCTCGTTTTGCATCTCCGCCTACCTCGTTATCTACCATTGTCTCCTATAATCTTCATAATTAATCAACTGCACACAAAAACTCATTCTTGATTATTGATTCTAGATTAAGTGTCATTTGAACTCTCAAGCAATCGATAATCTCATCATTATTAGTTATACTTAACATCGCAAGGCATCATTCTTTATTGAGATTCAGTAGTATCATCATCTCTTCAATCAATTGAACAATATCTTGATCTCTTTCTCTCCTATCCTTAGTCGCATCTCTTATGTGTATTAATTTCAACTGGACTAAAGTTCTCTATATAATGAAAACCACTTTTTGATCGATGTTTGTATTCATTCTCTCTATCAATCGTTACTTACATTTGTTGTTGTATAATTTTGTGTTTTAATATCACTTGTTACTTGATTCTTTCTTGATTACTTTATAATTACCTGCAATAAAATCTTTTTGTTTCATTTGGTAGTTTAATCTGTAATTATTGTGATGTTCGAATACATGGTGGATTCCAACTCTTGGTTGTTTACAAGTTATCTTCTGTAAAAAATACTAAAATCTTATAATCACTTTCCATCCTTTATCCTTCTTGATTATTTAGCCATATAATTCAATATTTTATCTTCTCTCTTTTTGTCCAAACGACTTTCTTTCATCATCATCTTAAAGACATAACACTAGGAAGTGCATGACATGGAACGAATAGCAGATGCAATTAAACGTCAAATTTTTTACTAAATTACCCCTAAGAAGGGAATAAATAACAAATGCAATTAGAACTCAACTTTTGGACTAGATCATTTCCAAGCAAGGAATGAATAACAGATGCAAGTATACCTTAAAGTTTTGACTAAATTGCTCCCAAGCTTTTGTTTATGCCTACTTTATGATATAGATGCAACCTAGTTCTTGGGAGGTTTAAAAACGATACATGAAGAGTTGAAGACCATGGAGCTGTTTTCTTCATAAATCATGCGAATTTGTTTGAATTTTACAAAAAAATGGATTTCTTACCGATGTGGAATAGCTTGGACGCAACTACCAAACCACTTTTTGCAAAGACTGTATTGTAAGAAGACAATTGATGCTTTTTATTTTCTTATTTAAAATTATGCAAATTGGAAACCATTTTGGTTTAGAACTTTGTTAATCTTGAAACAATTTCAACTATTTGGTATTATAACTTGTTTTAATATGAAAAATTTAATTTATTTATCAAATAAAAATTTTAATTTTGAAGTTATGTATGTTACATAAAATTTTTATTAATATTTTTTACAAAAAGATAATATGATCATTTTTACATCTTGTTCTGTCTATATCTATTGTTACCAAAGTGTTTCAAACAACTTGTTATGTCCGGTTCCAATATTACCAAACACTATATAAATTGTTTGTCCAATTCAGTTAAGTCTACTCCAGTTTTGTTCCCCCCGATTCTTCTACCAAAGGGTATCTTATAGTTACTGATGTGTAACTTGAGAATTATGACTCCTATTCTCACGAAAATACTTAAAAACACATTTAAAGCACATGATCGAAAACGTGAAAATGATAAAATAATAATAATAATAATAATAATAATAATAATAATAACTTTAATTTATTTAATTCACAACTAATTATATAAATTACTATAAACACGACAAGCACATGTTGATATCTTGTCAATTGTGTATTGAATTTTGAACATGACTACACTTGACACAAACACAAATTATCGAAAGTTAATTTGGTCCCAAATTCGTTTAGTGTTGTGCATTTTTGTCGTTTTGTGCCATGAATTAACACCCTTAGTATCCACTAGGTATGAGAACACGATCAACCTCCACTGGATGTATATTATCTACGACAAATTACAGTGAAAAAAATAATAATAACACCATATCTAAATGCAAGAAATAGCAATGTATTTTCATATATTTGTTTGTTACATCCTACTTTCATTTTTTTCTAATTCAACATTGTATTTTCAAAAACAAATTTTATTAAGATATTGCGCTTTCGTAGTTTTACCAAATTATAGCATTGTACTTCAAAAAATATATGAGACATTATACTTTCAAAATCTAATCTACTAAAAATTGCTTTGTATATACTTAAGTAAATTTTGCTTTGTATATACTTAAGTAGATTTTTGAGTAAATTACTGCAATCGTCCCTGTGGTTTGGTCAAAATTTCATGTTTGGTGGCTGGTGCCTAACTTTTTTTTTTGCACTCGGATCGTCCATGTGGTTTGATTTTGTTGCGTTTTTCGTCCCTATGGTTTGGTAAAAAATGCATGTTTTTGGTCCCTAACTTTATATATGTAAGGGACGAAAAATGCAACAAAATCAAACCACAGGGACGATCCGAGTGCAAAAAAAAAGTTAGGGACCAAACGTGCAATTTTGATCAAACCATAGGGACGATTTCAGTAATTTACTCTAGATTTTTCAAATGTCATTTTTTGTAATATGAAAAAAAAAATAAGTATAAAGGGCTATAATGTACAAATAAATGAAAATACTTTGTTATTTCTTACATTTAAAACGGATTATAAGGATTTGTATAGATGTATAACTATACGGTCTCATTTAATGTTGTTCAACGCATTATGTAGTATGTTGCCTTCTTTTCGAGGAAGCTAAGTTGGAGTCACCCTCCCTCCTTTAATTCTTTATATGAACTTTTTTTCTTCTTTTTTTTTTTTTTTACCCTTTTTACCCTTATCTTTTTTGCACCTAAAGTTTTTAATACTTGCAATTTCAACTTCATAGTTATTTCTATCAAATACTAATTGTGAAATTCATATATTACATTAGTTATTTTAAAAAAATTAAATATGAATGTTTAAATATTTAAAAAAAATTAATTTATAAGAAAATAAGAAAAATAACGAACTATTAAAATTGAAATGTTTTTTTTATCTTTTAAATTTAATCAAATAATTTAAATAAATAAACAAAAGAAACGAAGAGACCTTAATTTGAAAAGTTTGAAATTAGAAAATAAGTTTATTAATGAAATTAATATCTAATTATTACTACATTTATTACAATTATTATATTAAAATATTATATGATATTTAATAAAATATGAAAACTTATAAAATAACGTGCTGGAAAAAATGTTAATTCAAAATAACCACAAAATCTTCGAGTAGATTTTTATTTTTTATTTTTCTAAATCTGAGTCTACCGTTTATTTTTTATTTGTAATTAAATGATTTTTAGTTTGTTTTTACCTTAAGGTTCCAGATAGTTCAAATTTATCCTTGATATTCTCTCTCATTTGATTTTTGGGTTTATTTATCAAGTTTTTAATCATCCGATTATAAAACTCTAAAACTCACCTGATATTTTCCCTTCCATTTCATTTGTTCTAAACTTTTTTATTCTAATTTTCTCCCACTTTTTTTCTATATAAGAACCTTAGTTTTTTAGACAAATACATATTTATAATCATATTAATTTAGAGTTCCTTTACCATAGTAGTTCTTTTCTATTGGACCAACATCAATTTCTTTTTTCTTTTTTTCTTTTTTCAATCGGTGATACTCATTTCTTCCATTATAATCCAGTTCCCACCGCTCCACCGCCTTACCCCTTATCTCTATGACTCTATCTCTTCCCTTTTTATTTCTGCTTTCAACAGATTCGCCTACATCGACATTTACCTCCAACTACATCGGCCACAAGGGCTGCTTTAGATCCTCTAAATCACAACACGCTCCTCTGTGCTTGAAGTTTATGTTTTGCTGGTGTTCCTGGTGGTGGCCAACAAAAACCCTAAATTGATTTCACTTCTCCCTGAACGCTTTCAAATAAAAACAGGAAGAAATCGAAGGTCAGTTCATGCTTGGCTTCGATTTTGAAGGTATGTACCCAAGTGAGCCCTAATTTTTTATCCAATCATGCCATCATCGTTCTCTCTGATTTAATTTTTGTTCTAGTTCTTTCCACTGTTCCCTCTTCTCAATATCAATCTCTATCCTCTCTCAATCTCATCTGTAAAGTTGGCGATACTACTTATCACCGCCTTATCCATGAAGGTATCCGCTATATGGTGGTGTTGTCTCGATTGCGGCCGCCTCTTTCATCGAATCGCAGAGAACAGAAACGTCACCGCCAACGACACCTCGACCTACTTCTCCTGGTCTCTGATTCCCCCTCCACCGCCTGGTTTGGCCAGGGGCTTCCCGATTTCCATTTTGGGTCCTTGCTTACCAAAAATAAGCCAAAACGGGGGTATCTGCATCTTTTGGTGTTCCTGATGTACTCCAATGGTTATGGGATTCCAAAGGATACCCAAAAGGTTTGATTTTTAGGTTTTAAGCTTCGAATTTTAACTTTACTTCGAATAGGATGAATTATGATTTTTTGTGATTTCGGTTTTTAGGTCTTTCTTATTCTGTTTTGGTCTCTGGTCATAAAAGACCATGTTTTTGGGTGTATCGGGAAAGACAGAAAGAAGAAAAAGCCACATGTTGAGGTCTACAGTGGAATTAGTGAATCAAAGACAGAAGCAGGTATATTTGTGATTGTAGCTAATGTATGCAATATTCCTACGATGTTTCACTATCTTTACAGCTTTTGATTAAGTGAAACCCAAAGGATTGTGGAATCTGATAAATAGGAAAATGGAGCCTATGCCATCCAAGAGAGTACTGTGGATCTCTTCTATATTTGTTAGTTTTCCTTTCACTCATATATGTAGTTTATATAAACGATATTTGTTTTTTAAATTATAAAGATTTAAAAGTTGGCGTTAATCCATATGAGGAGATGGATTTGACTAACTCAGAATTTGCCTAAGTCATAACCCTTTAAACCATTTGATCATCTTAAATTCGAATAAAGATAAGGTACATCAACAAACTTTCATAGGGTTGTATAGTTTATAGTTTATCTTATATCATTCCAAATTAAACTATTTTTGTGTAATTTTTAGATATGAGACTGGAGACCATCTTCGTGTACACTGTAAGAACTTAAGTGAATTTGTCGAGGATGCTGAAAGATTGGTAAGGTTAGCACCAAATACTTATTTGTCACTACATAATGGTAAGTAAAGTTGCATAATATTATTTCATGCGACAATGTCATTTCACAAAACAATAATACAATTTTTGTTAAATTTAAAAAATGTAAAGTCAACTAACATATTATTTTGCAATATTTTTAAAAGAACGTTGATATATCAACAAATTTTTTTGATACTTCCATGGATTTTGAAGGAAATTGACAGTTATACCCCTCCTTAAATTAAAACGTACGCACACAGTATAAAGTTTGTTAATTAGTAACTCTAAATCATCATGATTCCCGAGTTTGATTTAAAGTACTTGATTTACTCCTATAAAAAAATGGATTATCGCTTTGATCGAGTTCAATAAGGAGTTAAAGCGTTATTTACATGAATAGATACTTCTATCCTTTAACCAGCTTCCAAATTGGGTATGGACTTTTCTTTTATCATATCAAATGCAGTTGATTTAATAATGTTCAGATTTGAACTATGATTTATATTTGATTCAGAGGTGAGTTATATTTTTATAGCTTTTTGTGTTTGTTAAATATTTGTTTTATTTTTTTAATGTATTTTCCTTTTCAGGTTAAATAATTATGAGGTAATGGAATTTTTTTTGAGGAAAGATAACTTCTTGATATGAGTCCTCAACCAAATGCAAATTCAGATACACGGGCAATAGGTTATTCAAATGTATTAATAATATATGTGGTTATAATCTTCTTTTTTATTATTTTTGGGTTTACACGTTAGTTTTCTTTAGATTTTTTTTTAATTTTATTTAATGGCAAATTGTATCTGTTTGTTTATAAAAAAACATTTTATTATTGGTGATATAGTTTCAAAACACTCCCCAACAAGAAATAGATGAAAACCTTGAATTCAGAGCCCTTCTAACTGGATTTGTAAGTCCCCTGCACTTATTTGAACATTAAAAAACTAAGTATTTTTTTTAATTATAAAATTTGTGAAAACACATATGTTAAATCTGTTTAATTGGTTTACAAAGGCATGGAAGTCATACACGATCTATCAATGGCTGAATTCAACATGTTCGGCTTATTATGTTCAAAAGATGAGCTATCAATTAGTGCCTACTATTTCTTTCTATAAGATTTAGTATAATAACAACTTCCTTTATACAATTAAACAAATGCCTGCAACTTTTTGACAATTGTGTAGTTTTGATATACCACATGGCAAGAACTATGTTAGGGATCATTGATAGTTGTCATCAAATTGGTTGTTTGTATTTGGGTTTATAACTCCACTTTTCTTTTCCTTTTCAGCAAAATATATCCTTTTATAGAATGTTTATATTGACTACTTTTAAGTGACGATTGGAAAAGATTATTTTACACCACTAATATTCAAGAATTGATACTATGCCATGTAATCAAATGATTATGGGAATGATGATGAAAAACAAAAAGAAATTACAAAATTATATAGAGTTTCGCTTTGGCCTACCTCTTTCCTTACATTTTTTGTCGCATACAAATTGATGTGGTTGAAATATGTGTATGTTGTTAATTATTATTAGTATATATAGTGTAAGGCTTGCTATTGAACGATTTGACAATTAAGAATTGTACATTTATGTATAAAAACCCTTTGCAACACATGTTTCATGCATAAACTACCCAAATTAATGTGTTTGTTTGAAAGATAATACTTGCATTCATAAAATCAGAAACATGATCACAACGATTCACAAAGAGAAAGTTTAAGAACATCAAAACTCATAACTAACAACGGCTAACCCTCGGAACGCGGGGTGACACTTTCCTAGTTATACAATATTTTTAATAATTTATTATAGTTTCTTACGACTTCATATATATATATATATATATATATATATATATATATATATATATATATATATATATATATATATATATAACTTGCTTGTGTATACGAAATATATTTGCAACAGGACCGGTCCTGAGGAATTAAATATCCTCAAATGCCCATGACAAACAAGAAAAAAAAGGATACTTATCGTTATTATAAGTTGTTATTTTTAAATAAATAAATACAATAAAAAAAAATGGACCCCGTACAACTGCCCAGTTCCCCCCCTCTCCCCCCTCTTTAACGACATAATATAATTGACGATTATAACGATAAAAGTTGATGATTATACCCGAATGATACGTCGGAATAATCTTGATGATGATTAGATGGATGATTATATGAATGGTTTTGGATAATTTGGATGGACACTTTGCTATTCAGAAATAGAACAACTATTTCAAAAACATTCTTGCCTTTAAGGCACTCTTTCAAAATACCATTTTCAAAAACATTTGACGCTTTCGTTTCAAAACATTTCATATATCAAAGCATTATATTTAATTATCATAAAATCATTTTGCCATGTACCCCAAAGTGGGAAAAATGCCAACACGTACTCACCTCAATCACACGTAGGTTAGCTAATGCTCTTCTTGTTCCTTTCCCCAGGTTAATCCTCTTTAAACACTACCTACACCATGTATGGATATAATTCATTAAAATGACCAAAATACCCCTAAAAGGTTCAAATACTAAATTTTATTGTTTCAAATCATTCCTCATGCAAAAATATGAATGTAGGCGAAAATCGTGCGTAAATCCGAGTCCGTATGCAAAAGTTATGAAGAAAACAAGAAAATCTCTAAACCAGGGGACTACACGGGCCGTGTTAATTAAGCATGTATTAACACGGGCCGTGTTTCCTTGTCTGTACACACACAAAACTCGTTTTTTCTCAACATAACACTATACTTTGCATAGTTCTTGAAGACCTTTTTCCAAATCACTTTGTACCATTTGTATAGGTTCTCACACATGTTTAGGAGGTGTTTTATCATCTTAAAACACTCCACTTAATCCATTAAGTGTTCATTGAAACCTTAAGATCATGATGATCCTCAAGTGTTTAGAAGAAGAGTAAACTAGTTGATTTTTCACTTGAACATTCCAAAGGTCACAAGGTTTGTTCCCAACTTATTGAACACTCATGTAAATGTTGCCAAGCATATAAAACCCCCATTAATCTCATTGAAAATGCCCGATCTAACTATGGAATTCTCAATTCCATTCCATGTTCCAAAATTGTCCTTGGTTCATAACAATCACTAGAGATGCATATTTGCTAACATTCATTTATGTTTATGTTTCACTATCACCTCTTGAGTGTCAATTCATGTTCATGAATATCATTCACTTCTTATATGAGATTCATTATGAAATTATCAATAGATTTCCCAAAATGTCATTATGGCCAATTATTCCATAAATTCAACTATATACCACCCGATCCTTAATGTTATTGCATTCAAATCATATTATCAGTATCAACTCATATTCTAATTTCAAGCACTTCCATATGGAGAAAGATAAGCTTACCATGGGGGTAACGATATTCTGACTCAAGCTTTGAACCAAAGCTAATTCTTTTCTTCCTTTAAGCGTCAAACTTCATATTTGAAGGCCTTTCCACTGCAAAAATAATAATAATAATAATAAATAAATAAATAAAAAATAAAAAAAACTTGAATTAGATCTACGAAATGATCACTTTTGGTAGCTGCTGCCATACCAACAATCTATTTTTCGTAAATAAGCACTAGCATTACGGTGCGAGATCTGCCAAGCTAAGCTGGAAGGAAACCTTACTTTCCTTCCTTTCCCCAACAGCTACAAGATCTAGCCTGATCAAATCTATATATCTCGCTAATGTCATAGTTACATTCTAGATCAGCCAAATTCTGTCGTTCCCGACTTCATTCTCCACAGTAATGGCTTTACTACAATCCTTTCTCAAGCATTTGGTAATTCTGGCTGTCGTTCCTGTTGGATCGGTCACTCTAGATCTTTAGTCTACAATTTCTATTGGGATCAAGATCCCCTTACATGTATTGGATGAAAGGTCCTAACTCCTAGCAAAGTCATTCTTCACTAAGTTTAACTTCAAACTAACTGGGAAAGCAGAAGCACAAAATTGATCTGCCGATTCCTTTGAATCTAGCCTCTCGGTCTGTCATTATACCTCGAGAAGTACTTGCAGGATTCTGCCCTAAATCTAGCCAAAAGCCTATTCCGAAAGTACTATCAAACGAAGCTCAGTTCAAGGCTACTCTCGTTCTTCTTAAACTTCTTCCATTGTTAGCCATGATTAATAATCTCTTGTGAAATAGCAGATGCATAGGCAATAAATTGTTAAAATTTTATATTTAATTTTTTTAAATAAACATATGTAATATATGGGTCTCACACTTAGTTTTATAATCCATAAATATTATATTTAATAAGATTTTACTAATTTTTTCTTTAAAAATATTTTATTGTAATTTTTATCTTTTAATCATATTTTTTATAAATCTTTTCTTTAATCATACTTTTATGATTTTTTTAAATATTTTTTCCTATATTTTTTCCAATATTAAATCAGATTTGTTTGTTTAATAACTTTATATATAAATTTTAACAAAATTAGTTATATAATTATAATAGAATAGTTATGTGATTAATTAGATATCCAACTTACAAAGGTGTATCATTTAAAAACTTATTATCATTCAAAAGGTTAATATTCATAATTGATGTAAAAAAATTAGTTAGATATGTGTTATCGAGAAAAAGATATAATAACTTGTAAGATTGTCGGTTTGTAGAAAAAAATATGACTTTTACACCAAACAGAAATAAATGACAAATATATATATATATATATATATATATATATATATATATATATATATATATATATATATATATATATATATATATATATATATATATATATATATATATGGGAAAAGTGAATATACCCTTAAGGGTATATAAGTTTAGGTACCCAAACTCACTATAATACGTCGTTTTGTTTGATATATTTATTATAATGTTCTTCAACTTCAATCCTTAACTTGATTTACTTCCAAGATTTTCAAAATTTTATTATTATCTTCCTCTTACATCACATCTTTTTTACGAACATCAATTAGGCTATATATATTATAGTTGAAAATGAAATTATGTAAGAGGAAAATAAATGTGAAATTTATAAAAATCTTTGAATGAAATCAAGTTAGAATTTGAACTATAAGAACATTAGACAATTACAATGTATATATATATGATACAAAGCGATGTAGTATGGTGAGTTTGGGTACCTAAGCTTATACCCTTAAGGGTATATATATATATATATATATATATATATATATATATATATATATATATATATATATATATATATATATATATATATATATATATATATATATATATATATATAGGCTTTTGTGTTATACTAAATAATAATTGTAATTAAAAAGAGATTATATTTACATTTTTTGTAAGTTAAAGGGATTATATCTACATATCTTAAAACTTAAAGTAAAAAATAAAACTTATAGGGGCCCTAAGTATCTGTCTGTTTTGTGGGTCACGACCCTATTTTTAATAAATCTGAAAGTTTTACAAACCAAATCCAAAACAGCCCTATTTTTGCAAAAAAAAAACTCTAATTACTGACAAGTGAATAAATACACACTCAGGTACATTGGCAATGCTGTATTTACCACGTAGCAGAGTTCATCTTCTCGAAAGTAGTGATTCTGCTTTCTATTGCGAAAAAGGTCCAATGATATCTTGCAAGTTGCAACGATAGTAGAGTTATGGTAGAGCTATTTAGAGTTTAGATGGCAAATCTTGTTTGACTCTGAGTCTGGATACTTCATCAGCTATATCATAGTCGAGACGATGGGGATATATGACTTTGACCAAAGTTGAGTAATTTAAACTATATAAGTTAATGCTATACAGTTCAGTTTTCGGTGATGCAAATCGATTTTGTCTTTTCACCTTAGTTTATTATATATAGCGTCCTATAAAACCCTACACTACACATACAAGGCACCTTAAACACAGTGTCCACACAAGAACCATTTCAAACATACAATCATGGGATCCATTGTTAAACCTCATGCAGTGTGCATACCCTTTCCAGCACAAGGCCACATTAATCCCATGTTAAAACTAGCCAAGATCATCCATTCCAAAAGCTTCGATATCACCTTCGTCAACACCGAATTCAACCACCAACGCCTCCTAAAGTCACAGGGCTCAGCCACTCTCAGCCGCCACCCTTCCTTCAAATTTGAGACCATTCCTGATGGCCTTCCGCCACCGGAAAACCTAGATGTCACCCAAGACATTCCCTCTTTATGCAAGTCCACCTCTGAAACGTCTCTTGAACCTTTCAAGAAGCTTCTCTTTAAACTCAATGATACCACCACAACACCTCCAGTGAGTTGTATAGTTTCAGATTGTTCAATGAGCTTCACAATTGATGCAACAGATGAATTGGGAATACCAGATGTTTTGTTTTGGACGACTAGTGCTTGTGGCTTTTTGGCCTATGTACACTATAACACTCTCAGAGAAAGGGGATTCATTCCACTAAAAGGTTATGCATCGTATTAATTTACCTCCTTAACACAATTTTCACAAATTCTTTCTATTGCTAGTACTTGTAGGAAGTTTACTTTTGGTTTTTAAAACTTTCTTTTATAAACATGCAGATCCTGCTGACTTAACAAATGGGTACTTGAATACAGTCGTTGATTGCATACCTAGCATGAAAGGCATACGATTGAAAGACATGCCAACTTTCCTTAGAACTACAGATCCAGACGATATCATGGTCAATTATGTTATTCGAGAAACCACAAGAGCTAAACGAGCTTCGGCAATCATACTCAACACTTTCGAGGACCTAGAGCACGACGTGTTAAAGGAGCTCTCTTCGATCTATTCTCGTGTGTACTCAAATGGGCCTTTACATACCCTCGAAAACAATTTGAAGAACAAGGATTTGGAGTTATTGGGGTCAAGTCTCTGGAAAGAAGAGGCGGAATGTCTAGAATGGCTGGACTCCAAAGAATATAATTCGGTTGTTTACGTGAATTTTGGAAGCATAGTCGTGATGACACCTCAGCAATTAGTTGAGTTCTCATGGGGACTTGCTAACAGTAATCGGACCTTTTTGTGGGTTATCCGACCAGACCTTGTCTCTGGAGACTCACCTATGCTGCCACCGGAGTTTCTAGATGCGACGAGCGGCAGGGGGTTATTAACAAATTGGTGTCCTCAAGAAAAAGTTCTAAATCACCCATCAATTGGAGGATTTCTGACGCATAGTGGATGGAACTCTACCTTGGAGAGTATATCGAGTGGAGTTCCGATGATTTGCTGGCCTTTCTTTGCTGAACAACAGACAAATTGTTGGTATAGCTGTAATCAATGAGGCATTGGGATGGAGATAGATAGTGCTATCGACAGAAGACAGGTTGAAAAGCTTGTGAATTTTTTAATGGATGAAGAAAAAGGTAAAGATATGAAGAAAATGGCTGAAGTTTGGAAGGAAAAGGCTGAATCCAAGTCATCTTTGTTGAACATAGACAACTTGATCAAGGAAGTGCTATTTCGATCCTAGGGTTCGAGTGCTTGGGACATGGAACTTAATTTATGTGTTTCAAAGTTGTAGAACGCAAGCATTGACGTCTTCATATTCAGGACGACTGGATTCTGTTAATTCTTTACTTCATGTATTCCTATCATCCATTATTAACCTCCCATATTAATAATTACTTTGTTGCTATGATTACAATATTATTGATATATACGTTTATTTAATTTACCTAATAAGTAATCTCTAGATAATTTTAGTTTATTATGAAAATGAAAGTTAAAAGGAGGAAAATGCTTTATTATTATTTAATCACTACAAATATGGAATACCTGCAGTTACCTGTGACCTACATATTTGGCAGAAGAATTGGAAAGCAATCTCAGGATGTATTTGACCCTTTATAGGTATAATCTTACATGGTCAAAGACGATCATAGGCGTTATCATCTCAAATTCCACCTCCAAGAAATTAGAGTCAACCGTTGACCAGTTTCAGCTGGCATTGAAGTTCTCGACAGAAATTAGAATTGACAGTGGAGAAGAAAACGATGTCGAATAAAGGGCCATTGTTGCTGAAGAGCGTGACATTGTTTAAAGCCTACCTTTTATTTCGAAATTTTTTAGAGGGGTCAGAAAAAATGAAAGAGCAATTTACAGAATGTCATGTTTAATAAATAAATAAATAAATTAAAAAAAAACAGAGGATGAGTTAAGATATTCAGATCTCTTTAGATGAAGTTTTTGTTGGGTTTGGCCGCAATGCTACTACCGGTCCAAAAAGGATTTTTTTTTTGTGGGCTATGTAAAAATTGGATTTATGACTGCCAAGTTGTAGACACTTAAAAAACCCTTCTATAAGCATACCCACAAACATACATCCTTAAGCTCAAAGTTGCAGCTTCACTTATTTCATTTCATTTTTCTTAAAACCAACATAACCAATTGGGGATTTAACATCACGCCCCTCATTGCACACAGATGGGCTGAACCATGTTTCCTAGAAAAAAATAGTCCAAAACAAGATTAAGAATTTCTAATAGGAACATATATAGTGCTAAGTGATTTGGAGAAGTCAAAAGTCAAAAGGAAAATAAGGCTTTCGATGTGGTAGTCCGTACATTAAGCTCAAAATCACCCATAAGGTGTACCAACTACCACATCGAAAGCCTTATTCGTCTTTTGACTTCATTTGAGCTCGATCAAAAGGGTTTGAATGTCAAATGCTTAGGGTTTTGACCTCACTCGATTGCAATTTGGACCTTATATGAAGAGAAATATCATAGGCCATGAACAAAGCGAGCAAATGATTGAATATCTTCAATACAAATAGGGAACAACATGGATGAAACCTCAATGCCTTAACTATCATGGTTGCTAAGCGTAGGAATACCATTAATCTGTATAGGACACCTCGAGTTCCAAGTAGACTCAAATTGGAACCTTCTAGATAAAGCTCATCTATTTTGGACCTAGTCGAACCGTTTAGAAAATCACCTGATCCAATCTAGGGACCACAACCACTAATCCTCTTGTACCTCTTTCGATAGTTATCTCAACTTAGCTTCTTGAAGCCTCATGGTTTGCAACAAATGCTTTTAAAACTTGTTTGGATAGAGATCGGATCCCAATCTAATCTACCATTTAGCTAGTAACCACAACCTATATTCAATATAGTTCCCACCTTGACAAAAAAATAAACCTATTCCATAACGAAATTGATAAATGCTTCATTATGGAATAATAATGTACATGAAACAACATTCCGTCCCATAAAAATTGCAAACATATCTTCTTGGAGTTAAATGTAAAAACAACGATATAGTATCATTGGTTTGTTTTATATGGCATTCTTTTTTCATTTCCTTGCATTACGACATTATACATTGGAAAATTTAGTTATTTAACAATGTCTTTCAAATACAAAGCATTGTACATTGTACAATATCATTGCTATATTTTTTAAAGTATAATGCTCTCATAGTAAAAAATTGAAAGTGCAATGCTATTAGTGGGTAGATTTGTCAAAACACTATATATTTAATAAGAAAAATTCTGAAAATACAATGTCGTTATAAAAAATCGAAATTTGATGATGTAATACACAAACAAATCAAACTATATTGCTATTTTTAAGGTTGATCTCTTTATTTTTTTGCAATATTGCCAACTCAAAATTATATATTGATTGCCCATTATCATCACCTGTTTATTTATATATAATTATATGTAAATACTAAAGGACCACTTTTTTAATTAATTATATATTCTATAATATTAATAAAAACAACTCTGTGAAGGAAAAATAACTCTCTAAAGGGTTAAAAACATCCAAGGTTAAATTTTCCACCTTTTTAACTCTCTAAAGGATTAAAAACATACAAGGCATATTGTATATCCTACACACTAGGATATTTGATACGCTACATACTAAAGACATAGTGGTGATGCGGCACATCACCTCAAGGTATACACATCCTTAGCGGCATGGTGATGATGTGGCCGTCAATGGGTGTGAAAGGAGATAGCCTCTATCCCTCCCCCTCTTCAATAGGGAGAGGCGATGCTGATGCGGCCACACCATATGGTATGTACACGGTTTCTTTAGTTAGGTAAATAAAAATAAAAATTAAAAATGTATCTTTCTCTACGGTTCAAGTCTTATAAAAAAAAATTTTGATTTAAAAGTACGATCAGATGATATGTGTTATCGGTTTTTAAAAAAAATAATAATAAAATAACAAAATAATTATTATTTATTAATATGTGAGAAACTATATAGGATGATAGTAATACTAATACAAAGTAGTTAATCAAGTAACATAATACAATCGTCGTGAATGTGAAGACGTCAATGCCTGCGTTGTACAACTTTGAAACACATAAATCAATTGCATGTTCCAGGCACCCGAACCCTAAGATCGAAGTAGCACTTCCCTGATCAAGTTGTCTATGTTCAACAAAGATGACATGGATTCAGCCTTTACCTTCCAAACTTCAGCCATTTTCTTCATATCTTTACCTTTTTCTTCATCCATTAAAAAATTCACAAGCTTTTCAACCTGTCTTCTGTCGACAGCACTATCTATCTCCATCCCAATGCCCCATTGATTACAGCTATACCAGCAATTTGTCTGTTGTTCAGCAAAGAATGGCCAGCATATCATCGGAACTCCACTCGATATACTCTCCAAGGTAGAGTTCCATCCACTATGCGTCAGAAATCCTCCAATTGATGGGTGATTTAGAACTTTTTCTTGAGGACACCAACTTGCCAACAACCCCCTGCCACTCGTCGCATCTAGGAACTCCGGTGGCAGCATGGGGGAGTCTCCGGACACAAGGTCTGGTCGGATAACCCACAAAAAGGTCTGATTACTGTTGGCAAGTCCCCATGAAAACTCAACTAGTTGCTGGGGTGTCATCACGGCTATGCTTCCAAAATTCACGTAAACAACCGAATTAGATTCTTTGGAGTCCAGCCATTCCAGACATTCGGCCTCTTCTTTCCAGAGACTTGAACCCAATAACTCCAAATCCTTGTGCTTTAAATTGTTTTCGAGGGTATGTAAAGGCCCGATTGAGTACACACGAGGATAGATCGAAGAGAGCTCCTTTAACACGTCGTGCTCTAGGTCCTCGAAAGTGTTGAGTATGATCGCCGAAGCTCGTTTGGCTCTTGTGGTTTCTCGAATAACAAAGTTGACCATGATATCGTGTGGATCTGTAGTTCTAAGGAAAGTTGGCATATCTTTCAGTCGTGTGCCTTTCATGCTAGGTATGCACTCAACGACTGTATCCAAGTACCCATTTGTTAAGTCGGCAGGATCTGCATGTTTATAAAAGAAAATTTAAAAACCAAAAGTAAACTTCCTAAAAGTACTAGCGAATTTGTGAAAATTGTGTTAAGGAGGTAAATTAATACGATGCATAACCTTTTAGTGGAATGAATCCCTTTTCTCTGAGAGTGCTATAGTGTACATAGGCCAAAAAGCCACAAGCACTAGTCGTCCAAAACAAAACATCTGGTATTCCCAATTCATCGGCTGCATCAAGTGTGAAGCTCATTACACCATCAGAAACTATACAGCTCACTGGAGGTGTGGTCGGGGTATCATTGAGTTTATAGAGAAGCTTCTTGAAAGGTTCAAGAGACGTTTCAGAGGTGGACTTGCATAAAGAGGGAATGTCTTGGGTGGCATCTAGATTTTCCGGTGGCGGAAGGCCATCAGGAATGGTCTCAAATTTGAAGGAAGGGTGGTGGCTGAGGGTGGCTGAGCCCTGTGACTTGAGGAGGCGTTGGTGGTTGAATTCGGTGTTGACGAAGGTGATATGGAATCCTTTGGAATGGAGGATCTTGGCTAGTTTTAGCATGGGATTAATGTGGCCTTGTGCTGGAAAGGGTATGCACACTGCATGAGGTTTAGCAAGGGATCCCATGATTGTATGTTTGAAATGTTTCTTGTTGGACAATTTGTGTTTCAGGTGCCTTCTATGTGTAGGTTTTATATAGGACACAAATTAAAATAAAACTAAGACATGAAAACACCAAATCGATTTGCATCACCGAAAAAGGAACAGTTTAGCAATTAGCAGTTCAATAAAATATATTTAAATTATTCAACTTTGGTCAAAGTCGTATTCCACCATCTCGATCATAAGGATACAGCTGATAAAGTGTCCAAAGTCAAACAAGATTTGCCCTCTAAAGTCTAAATAGCTCTACCATACAACTCCCTTAACACAACTATATGTGACACGAACAGTACTAATTATTGAAGCATATACAAAACAATAACGTGATAAAATTGAACCATGCATAGTGTTTCCGTATACAAAACTATAATACAAATTATTGAACTATAGTATTTCCGTATACAAGACTATAAGGCCAAACTAATACTCCAGTGGATAATATTTAAAATAATACGAGTTGAAGACCCGACCATGCACGTGGAAGCGAAATGAAATTTGAATACGTAATTAAACAACGTTGCAAAATATGATTGGACCTTTTTCGCAATAGAAGCGGCAGAATCGACTTTCAAGAAGATGAACTCCTCTACGTGGTAATTAAATACAGCGTTGTCAATGCACTTGTGTGTGTATTTATTCACTCGCAGTAATTAAAACTCATTAAATGGTGGTATTTTGTAGCAGGAGTGTTAGGTTATTTTGCTAAAAATTTGGTTAATAACATAATATTTTTTTTTTGAATTCATGTATTTGAAACCAATCCGGATTCTTTTTTCCTTTTCCCATATTTATTTGAAATTTTCATGACTTTTCAATTTTTTTATAATAATAATTATAATTTGATAATTAGGTTAAATAAATATTAAATCTAAATTGTATTCCACTAGTACAGAATAGCTTTTGTAGTGCGAATTTTTTTTTGATGCGCTTATTTTAGGAAACCGTCTCATCAAATCAATGTAACACTAAAAAATATGAAAACCGCATTAGAAGAGCAACAAAAAATTCTTCCAACAGATTTATTAATGCGGTTCACCAAAAATAAGCATTAAAAACGATTTTTTGATGCTATTTGCTATAAACGCACTATTAAATTCTGATTTTTTGGTGCGTTTTTTTTCTAACCGCTTCATTTAACAACGATTTTTTGGTGCCATATTCCAAAACCGCTTCATTAAATTACGATTTTTTAGTGCCATATTCGAAAAACCGCATCAATTATGATTTTTTGGTGCGTTTTTTCTAACCGCTTCATTAAACAACGATTTTTTGGTGCCATATTCCAAAACCGCTTCATTAAATTACGATTTTTAGTGCCATATTCGAAAAACCGCATCAATTAAAAGCTAATTATTCTCAGTGCGAGGGTTTCTCTTCTTTGTAAATGTGAACATTCTTCTTCGATGAAATTCCTCTGCAAGTGACAAAAACTCAAAATAGCCTCATTAAATTGTCTAGTTATCTTCATTAAAGGTAAATTAAATTTTATTGTTCTTTTGATTTTATATTACCTATTTATTTATTAAATGATTGTTTAATTGTTATTTTTAAATTGATTTTTATAGATTATTAAAATGTTAAAATTTACATAACCTGTTTGTTGAAAATCGATATATTTGTTTGTTTATTTTAATTTTCAGATGACTCGTGATTATTGGATTTACAAAGCTTCACGTTTTTCCGAACTTTATATAGAGGGTGTTCGAACTTTTATTAGGGTTGCCGAAGCAAATCGCGTGAATAATGGAAATGAATCGATTTCTTGTCCTTGTAACCTTTGTAAAAACTTTAAAACGTTTAATTTTATTGGAGAAATAGAGTATCATTTGTTGCAAAATGGTTTTGTGCCTAATTACACTTGTTGGTCAAGACATGGAGAAACACTTGTTGATTGTGGCACATCGTCGAGCAATATAAATATTCATAATAGTACATACAACAATGATTCATTTGTTGATGAAGATGATCATCATTCAAAAGACCCAAATGACAATTTCAATGAAATGTTTGATGACATGGAGACTAACATGGATGATGTTGAACAAGAAAAGTTACAACGAGTATTTGAAGAAGCGGAAACTCCGTTATATAGCGGTTCCAAATTTATGAAACTCGATGTGGTATGTAGGCTGATTAACTTAAAGTCGAAAAACGGATGGAATGATAAAAGTTTCACAAGTCTATTAGAGGTTTTGCATGACATTCTTCCGGAAGATAATGTATTACCCATTTCTACATATCAAGCAAAAAAGCTAATGTGTCCGATGGGATTGGAAGTTGAAAGAATACATGCATGTCCAAATAATTGTATGTTGTACAGAAAGGAGTTCGAGAATAAACATAATTGTGTTTTTTGCGGTGCATCGAGGTATAAACGGAAAAAAGATTCGGATGAAGTAGATGATGATGTGACGAAAAATGGACCACAGGCTAAAATATTATGGTATCTCCCTATTATACCAAGACTAAAAAGGTTATTTTCAAACGAAAAAGAAGCAAAGTTACTTTGTTGGCATTCGGAAGAACGTGTAACTGACGGAAAACTAAGACATGTTGCAGATTCACCTCAGTGGAGAAATATTGATAAGAAGTATCCTGAATTTGGAAAAGAGATGAGAAACATACGGTTTGGGCTAAGTTCAGACGGGATCAATCCTTTTGGGAACATTAGCAGTCGTAGTAGTACGTGGCCGGTTCTTTTATGCATTTACAATCTTCCACCATGGTTATGCATGAAACGAAAATACATTATGATGTCGTTGTTGATACTGTTGGAATAGTGTCTAAGGCTGTAACTATATTCGGTTGTGCATGGTCCTTTTGGGTTGCCTTCACCATAGCAACTTGAAGGATGATTTGTTAAGAGAGAGTAAATATTATAAGAAATAATATTTAGCTATTTGATTAATATAAGTCATAAATTAATTGGTTTAATTGGTATTAATTTGGTGACTTAAAGAGATTAATTAAATAAGAGGGTATAAACTGTCAATTGTTTGATAGTTAAGCTTTAGACTGTAAATCCATTAGGGTTGACCTTGGACGGATTCTAGGAGCTTTAGGATAGCTCAAAATCGTCCATAGGGTTATCTATGGAATGGATTTGGATAGCCTTAAGAGAAGATTATCCAATTAGGGTTTAGAGTGAAACCCTTAAGGAGTCTACAAGTATAAATAGGCCCTTGGGATGTGGAATTCGTGTACAACCTTTCAGAACCTAAAGCAAGGAACCTCTGGTCGAATTCCATCCCCTCTCCTCTCTCCTAAATCATCTTGCTTGCTATTGGTGTTTGTAAACCATTAGAGGAGTGACAATTGTGACTCTAGAAGCTCCAAGACAAGAAGATCAACAAGGAACTCAAAGGTATGATTCTAGATCTGTTTTAATGTTGTTGTTTAACCTAATTAGCCATTAGAAGTCTTGGATTCAAAAGCATGTTTATTAGAAAGCCTAGATCCAAGCAATAGGGTTTTGCATGCGCACATAGGAAAGTTCTTATGGCTAAAACCCAACAGTGGTATCAGAGCCTAGATTGGTTTTCTTTAAATTGTTGCTTGAATAACTGAAACAAACCTGCAAAATTCGAATTTTTGGGTTTTGAGTCACTGACTCGTCGAGTTCCATGGTGGACTCGTCGAGTAGGCCTGACTCGTCGAGTCCCCTTGTGCACTCGGCGAGTCCAAGCGTCAGATAGGGCCAGATTCGGGATTTCTTTGTGTTTATCTTATCCAAACTTTCCATAAACTAATTAGATCAATATGAATCCGATTTTTTGATAAATATAAGTGTTATCTTGATCTAGTTAAAGGTAATTATCAACTAATTAAATATTTAGTTTCTTTATATGATAATTAATTAATTGTTTTAATTATTTTTGGTAATTATCCTCAAAGAAATCAAAGATAAATCAAATAAAGATAATTAAGATATTAATTGTTAATTGAAATTATTTGTTATTTGATCCTCCATGTTTTTAAATGTTTAAAACCTACCCTATAGTTTTGAAATTTATATTTGTGATTAAAAGCATTAATTTAGACAACTTAAATTTCAAACCCTAAATTTTGAAAAGTTTAAAATGCAACCCTATACTTATATGATATTATTAGAATAATATATATATGTATAACTAAATGCTAGTCTTACCGCTAGTAGGCCTCATTCACGAAGCCGATCTATAAGGTGGGTATAAGGTTGCGGCCTATAAAATGGCGCTTAATGGGTGTACACTCACACCCACCGCTTGCTTGATTGGTGGAGGGTCGTTAGCCGAACGGGTAGGATAGGGCAACCTCATCCTCTCATTAAAAGTATAATAAATACGAAGTAACTAAACTTTCCTTTTAAATTTCCCAATCTTAGTTACTTTAGGAAAAGTGAATTGTTGCAATCCCATGAAATTACACTTTGCACCTTGCTAAGATGTTAGTGGAGCGTGTGTGGTTTACCGGCACACTAATTGGTTCTAAGCGAAGGTGGCAAAGGGTGATTCATTGTTTATCATAGTTCGATGGAGCGTGTGTGGTTTACCGGCACATCGAATAGGTGATCGTAACAATGAAGGCACCATGTAAATTTGCATGGTAATTCACACCCGCTTTGTGATCCTCGGCATCCCAGTCACAAACAAGAGGGGCATATCGAGATTTAAACATGCCATTGAATAGTTCAATGAATCTCATCCGAACCTAGGAATTCTCAAAAACACTTAGGACTAAAAGTTTAAGTTTTGTGATGGAGAATTAGTGAATCGTCATTCACTTACCTTCAATTTATTTGCATGTTAGATTACGGCATCCCTTTTCTAGTAAGTAAATGTTATTGTTGGATCCTAGCCCTAATTTTTCTTATTGGTTGATAATTAGGGATTCTTGTTCTAATCTATCTTTGTCCTTTCTATAGATGTCAAACGCAAACAACGCTGCTGCTAGTTCTTTCACGTTGATGAGCCTTTGCCAAAAGG